TCCCCAACCCCCTCAGGATGTCCCCAAACCCCCTCAGGATGTCCCCAGACCCCCTCAGGATGTCCCCAAATCCCCTCAGGATGTCCTCAGCCCCCCTCAGGGTGTCCCCAAACCCCCTCAGGATGTCCCCAAATCCCCTCAGGATGTCCTCAGCCCCCCTCAGGGTGTCCCCAAACCCCCTCAGGGTGTCCCCAGCCCCCTCAGGATGTCCCCCCCGATGTCCCCACAGGCACTTCCCCCACCCCTACTACACCCTCCGCCTTCACCTGCCGGGCTCCAACTCCTCTGCGCGGCTGCTGGTGCTGGACACGGTTCTGCTCTGCGGCCACAGCGACGATTTCGGTGTGGCCGAGGTCCCCGCGGGTCCCCGGGACGCGGCGGCGGCCGAGGCTCACCTGGCGTGGCTGCGGGCGCAGCTGGAGGCGGCGGCCGGGGACAGTTTCGTGCTGGTGGCCGGTCACTACCCGGTGTGGTCAGTGGGCAAGCACGGCCCCACGCCGTGTCTGCTGCGGCTGCTGCGGCCGCTGCTGCGGCGCCACCGCGTCACCGCCTACCTGTGCGGCCACGACCACAACCTGCAGGTCAGCGGGACCCCCACCCAAATTCTGATCCCACCTGCCGGGACCCCACATGTGCCGGGACCCCCGCCCAAATTCTGATCCCACCTGCCGGGACCCCCACCCAAATTCTGATCCCACCTGCTGGGACCCCCACCCAAATTCTGATCCTCAGGGTGAGCGGGACCCCCACCCAAATTCTGATCCCACCCGCCGGGACCCCCACCCAAATTCTGAACTCACCCGTGGGGACCCCCACCCAAATTCTGAACTCACCCATTGTGTACCCAAATGTGCGGGCCCCCCTTAAATCCGGGGGTGACCCCTGGGTGTCCCCCCCCCCCAAATCCGGGGGGGACCCCCAGGTGTGTCCCCCCCCCCAAATCCGGGGGTGACCCCCAGGTGTGTCCCCCCCCCCAAAGCCGCCCGTTCTGTCCCGCAGTACCTGGAGGAGGGGGGGGTGGGCTACATCCTGAGCGGCGCCGGGAATTTCATGGAGGATTCGCGGCCCCACCTCGGCTCCGTCCCCCCCGGTTCCCTCCGCTTCTTCTTCGGGAGCCCCGCGAGCCCCGGGGGCTTCGCCCACCTGCGCCTGGAGCCCGGCGCTGTCACCGTCACCTTCCTGGAGGCCACCGGGCGCGTCCTGCACCGCGTGGCGCTGCCCCCCCGGCAGCTCTGAGCCCGGGGGGGCGCGGGGACCCCTCCCCTGGGGACAGCGGGGTCATTGGGGACA